CCGCTAGCTTGAGCACAGCCTGGCCAGAGCCCCCTCCTTTCTCCTCAGGCTCATATCATTGCTCTTCCCATCAGTGTATCTCATGTTTCTTTTCTGTCCTTTTCCTCATTCTTGCTTCTATCTCACCTTTTCTTTTAGGCTGTTTATTTTCCAGACAGCAAAGGCAGTTAAACTGTCTCCTTCCACCTCTTAACTTTTTCCAGTCTCACAACTGTAGTGATGGAGAACTCCATGTGAGAAACAGACATTCTCCATTCTTCTCCTGCACAGTTATTCAGCTTAATTTCAGTGTTGGAAAAGGCAATTTGTATCAGCAGGGCTGGTTCACTGAAAATGGATTAGGGAGTGCTCACACGTGCTGTTTCTTTGGCAGGGCTGTAAGGGCTGTAAGTCCCAGCTGGTGGGTGGTACCAAATAGGTGAAGGCTTCAGCATCTGCTGATGGCATAACGAGGTCCAGAAGAAGAGATTTATCTACCCAGTTGGAAGCATGCAAATACTTTCACAAAAAGGCAGCAAGCAAATATATATACTGTCTGTTTAGTTGCTGTGCCAGTTTCAGCAAGGCTTTACACGCACAGAATTTTATTGATACTCTCTTTTATACTCATTAGTCTGCTCTGGAAAGCTTAAATCCATTGAAAACCCGTTAGTAAAGGAGTATTAGATTATTTTTTTCATGCAGAAGACTTGTAGAAGGACTTGTAAAAACTGGACAGGTGCGTTAATTGATATTTTGAAAGTATGCTGTCCTGCTCCTTTCTTCCTTAATAGAGAAAGTGTTCAGTATTGTCCTTTAAAGGAGCTTGAATCATTTTAAAATATCATGAGGTTATTACCCTAAATCCCACTGAGGAAAGAAAATGCACCTTTTCCTTTCAGTTAGTCATGTGATATATATGTAATTCATGCTGTTATGGAATATGAAATAGATATATGTTATAAAGGGGTATACAAGAATGTTTTAAATTCACATGCGGGGTCTGAGTTTTGCCACATACCATGGGAGGACTGCATACCATTGAAAAACTACTGCCAAGGCAGAGAGAGTGGTCTAATTTACAACTGATAGAATCTAGCCTGGGTGGAGACCACCTGCACCTGAATGGTCATCGCTCAGAGATCAAGATAGCAGGAGCTATCAGGGAACTTGCATTCGAGTTCCCAGTAACTTCACCACCAGCCATCATTGCCTGCCAGGAACTACATTGTCAAATCCAGCTCAGAGGAAGAGGTCGACATGAATATGTTTGACCAGTGCTCACCGCTGGTCAGGAACTGTATTCTCCAGTCCAACTCGAAGAAAAGAAACAACATGAATATGATTGACTATGAAAAGAACAAGAGAGAGTCTGCCTCAGGCCAGAAAAACAGTATAAAAACAGACTGTACCAGACCGCATTTGTGAACAGATGGGGGTCCGATGCAATAGAGGTCGGATCACGGTTCACCGTGTCGATTCCCGGGGTCGATGATGTCCTTTTTTTTGTGGCTTTCAAGACTGTATATCAGTCACGCGCTAAATTCTGGTTTTTCCATTTTTATTAAAATTGGCTTTATTGATTTTTACTTAGTCAGTCACAAAAAGGATGTGATAGTTAAAGAGCAAACAAATCCTCTGTCAGAAGAAAGAACACTATTGACTGTGCTGAGCCCATTTTACTCTGAAATTCTTTCATACACTGACACAGATGAGTTTCTGAACAATCCCTGGGTGTCCAATGCACAGAAAAAAAAGTCTGTTTGCTTTATGGCTCAGTTTCTTTCTGTTCTGAAGGGCAATGGACAACCCTTGTGCATCACAGCTCTTCTGGGCCAAGGTAAGGTAGAGCTGATGTTACATTTTCAGTTAAGTTACTTGTACATAATGGTGGCTTTCTGAGTTGATCTTCTTCACCACATATCTGAAGAGAGAAATAGAAAGGTAGCATCATGACATATTACTCAAATTTTCAGGACTAGTAGCTGAGCTCTTCCCTTAATTCTGTAATAGAGAGTGTTTATAAGTATATTTTAGTTGAATTCAAATCAAAATGAGTTTCCTAAAGAAAGGACATCATTGCTTGCAGAAGAAGAGCTGCAGGAGGTTCATGGGTTGTCCCAGAGAGGAACCGAGAGGAGTCTGTATTCATGCAAAATACAGTGTCTCAGAGGAGACAGGGACTGGGTGGCAAATGCTCTTTTTACCACTGGAAATTCTGGGTGGATTTAACAGCACACCAGAAAACTCTCTGGAAGTGTTCTAAATCACTGCAGACTGCCCAAGGAAATGGTGAAGTCACCATCCCTGGAGGCATTTAAAAGACATGTAAATAAAGCAGTTTGGTTTTGTGGTGGACTTGGCAGTGCTGGGTTAATTGTTGGACTTGCTGATCTCAAGAGATCTTTTCCAAGCTAAATGATTCTATGACTTTGTGAAAAGAAAGATGAGGAGAACTGAGTATCAAAGTGGAGCTGTGGGGCATATTTATTTAATGGACTGCTGTGGCCATTGTGACATACAAATAAAGAAACTGTGCATACTGCAGCCAGTCTGAGCTGCAGAGGGATTTCTGATGAAGTTGCAGCAGACACCTCCTCTGCCTCTTTAGGAGTCATGGGCCAAGTGTAAGTCACAGGCACACTGAAGAGAGGTACTGACAGGGTGTCAATCTTTTGCTGTGGAGGAGAAAAATCGTTCTGGTCTGTCCAATTAGACTGCCCAGGGACTGAGAGGAATTTTGCAGGTCCCTTCACAGCTCTGATGATGATTAGTGGTACAGTTTGGGGCAGTTTGTCCATGTAATCAGTGTATCACAGGTTGAACATACATTAAAAACAAAAAGCATGCATATTTAGTACTGTCTTGCAATTTGTATTTACATTGCATATTATGAATTAGAAGCAGTAAATGTCATCTGCTGCTGTTACTACTACATCAATAGCAGAGTGATTCGAGTTATGTTGGTTTTAGTTTTGTCAATACCTGATACTATTTTTGGTTTGAAGTTTTTTTAGGCTGCATACATGTGCATTTATAGTCATGCATTATTAAAAGTCGCTTAAAATTTTCCACAGCTGTGGATATTTGCTTTCACAGGGAACTGCAACAGAAAAGGTGTCTGGAATATATGGCTTGCTACAGCAGTACAGCAATAGTGGTCCTTCACACTGGTGGTAATACTCGCCACAGTAGGTTCTGCTGGTTTGTACAAGGCAGGCAGATGCTAACAGGGGCACATGTGAGTTACTCCAGTAACTTGACAAGAGGCTTATCAGTGTAGCCAAGGAACTGGCCCTGAGGATCTTCTTGTATGTTAGGCTTAGTGGTTGAGTGGGACACATTCAGTCACTGTGGTTGTACTCACGTGGAGTGGGTCGATCAGAGCTTTGTTAGCTTCTTGATAATGTCAAAACTAAACTGGGAGAATAACAGCAGAAATGTTTATTTTATTCACCTATTCTTGAGGTTTTCCTTTATTTATTCAAATGTGGACAACAGCCATTTATCTGCATCAGCTGCCTGTTGCACTTTCATTTGTCACACTTCTATTAATTCAGAGTCAAATCAGTGATATGGCCTCAGAGGCATACCTGAGCCATGGACAATTACTGACCATCATTATCACTACAGATACGTACCAGTCATGATGACTGTGAAACGTCTGATTTATATTCAGTTATGCATTATTATGGCTAATGCATAAGATTCTACTCATGTACTTGAATTTGAATCACCATAAATAAACCATGAAAAATGCTTATGTTTTATTAAAAAAGCAGGCAGGCATTTATCCTCATTAGCAAAAGAGGTTTTCAAAAAGCTGGTATTCCCCTGCTAACATCATCATTTAAAATTTGTGCTCTGTGCCTAGCTCTTGGAGAGAACTAAACACATTTAAGTTTGGAAGCCTTGAAATCCAAGGCAATAGTAGAAATGGTTTTCTGAAAATGCCACCCATTCCACTTTGGTAAATCTGTTATTCAAAAGTACTACTGTTGTTTTCTAGCAAGAAGAAATAGAGACAAAATAGTGTACTCCTAATGAGTTTCCAGTAGAATGAGTCTTTCACCATCTCCTGTGCAATTACTTTTGAGATTCCAAAATGCAGAGATTTCCTTTTTTGTTCCATATTTATTATTTAAGTCTGCATATTTATCATTTAAATCTGAGAAACATTAATCAACTGGACAAATTACTAAATCTCTTTGCCTGACATGGCAAATATAGGTACCAGAATCACTGAGAAGTTAGTGCTGTCCTGATAACTGGCTTTCCATGCAGTGATGCTCTCTAAGCAGCAGGTGTCATGTTTTTCAAAGACCTGTTGCTACAAAACTAAAAGTGTTGCATGTCTTCCTATATTTTCTAATAAGGCAAAAGACAATGACTACATAGAAGTGATCCATGAAGCAGATTTCTTTCCAGTTTAGGAATGGGTAGAGAGTTTGGTTACATGGCTAAATACAATGTCTGGTCACTCTGTTGTTCACTATAACAGCTTGGCCCAAAGAGCCAAATGATTACCAATAGTGTCAGTTCAAATCCCCCATGACAGTGAATGTCCATACATTTTCATTTCTGACAAATATATATGACAATTAATTTCTATTAATTTATCAGTATATATACAAGCATACGTCAGTATTACATTTCTATAATTTTTTTATGTCAAAGAGGTAATTTCAAAGCTATGATTATTTTAAAACTCTCAGTGTTGTTCAATTTCTAAATGACACTTCTTGTAACTGCCATTATTTATGGGTAAATGGAACTGTAGGCATCAAAAAGAGGGCCTACACCTCCAGAATCTAAACTAATTATTGCTCCATCTGTCTTTGACAGGCAGTCATCATGGCTGACTGACCATATCATCTGCATATGGTTGGAGCTGTCCTCTTGTAGAATAATGATTAATAGAAGAATTTTGAATAGTAATTTGTTTAAACTGTAGGAATTGGTTGCTTTGTGCTTAGTGCTGCTAACTGGTATTTGACTACACTGTCCTTCATTTATTCCAGATAATTGATAAGAGCAAGAGAGACCCCTCTGAAGAAATTGAGATTCTCTTGCGATATGGACAGCATCCAAACATCATTACTCTTAAAGATGTGAGTAGTCTTTGAACACTTCAGCATTAAATTATTTTCACATTCTAGTCAGGCTCACTTATTAGTCCATGTGTGGAAAATTCTTCAGTTGAAGGTCTGAGCTAAAACCACACCCAGTGAAATCAAAGAGAAAACATGACTTAACAAATTACTGGATAGTGTTTGGAAAGACTGGTCAGGTTATGTATTCTCCAGTTACTGTCTAACAAACTGTAAATAAAGCCAAAGGGGCACAGTGCTGGAGAATGAAAAAATGGGTTTGGGTTTGCATCACTATTTAAAAGGGGATCTCCCTAGTTGGGTGTTTGGGGGCACTGCTTAATACACACAGCGGTGCTGCTGGGCTGGGGGATGATCTTTTTTGTGCAGCAGCCATTCCTGTGTAGCCTGTGCTATCTGCTTTGCTGGGAAGAGGAGAGCTCACAGAGTCACTAGGACTTCCCCCAGTAATGTTTGAATGCCAGGTACTATTGGCCTTCTACTCCAGCAGCCATTTACGTATTCTTCTTCAGCATTTCATATGAAAAATAATCCTTCCTATGCTTAAATGAAGTAATGAACTTTAGTCAGAGGTGTTTTACTTTAGCTGCCTGAAGTCTCACCTAAGATTGTCCACACCATGTCAAATTCAGAGTTTACGGAACAAAATCCTGCTTGTGTCAGTGACCAGTACATTATGGTTTAGACGTTAGAGAAGTATATAAGAATCTCCTAATCACATGCCCTCAGGAGAGTTTCACCTAATTCCTAAGTGTTAAAGTCTATCTAAAAAAATCTGTGCAGAATAAGTTTTTATATTCCTTTCCAAAAACATTTAGCATTGATGATTATAACACTGCCTATTGTTGCAGTCCAGATAAAGGATGGTGACATGAACATGGTTGTCCTCCAATTTAAATGATAAAATGTCTTTTACCAACTGCCATTGACACTGAATGTAAATATGTCTTGCAGCTGATATCAACAATATATTCACCAGAATTGCAAATATAAACTATATAATATCATTAGATCCAAGTGTTGGCCAACAGTGTAATACAGCTCTTTATCTGATCATGAGTCAAAGGGAAATATTGATATTTGAAATGGCAAATGTTACCCTGTGGAAGTGGAAGGAGAGAACACTACTGAGAAGAATGCTTGGGTGGGAGCCAGCAGACATTTGAAGCTGTGTGGAGTGGTGCTGTTTTTAACAGCTGAGCCTGCTCTGTTGACATGATAGAAAACCAGGAAAGCTACATTTCTGTGTGGACAAATCAGCAAGCTGCTACAGACACTAGAAAAAAAGTGATGATTTAAGTAATTTTATAAAGTTTTCTTTTTACTTGTTGAGTGTAAAGAGCCCGTTTCCCACACATTTGCTGATATTTTCTTCTTGCAACTTCACACACAAGCAAGCAACACTGTGATTAAAGGACCAACCTTTACCAAGTTGATGGGTCCAAGACATGTATTTATTGTGTTACTGTTCCAGGTCTATGATGATGGGAAGTTTGTGTACCTGGTGATGGAGCTGATGAGGGGAGGCGAGCTGCTGGATCGCATCCTTCGGCAGAAGTGTTTCTCAGAGCGGGAGGCCAGTGCTGTGCTGTGCACCATCACCAGGACCGTGGACTACCTACACTCTCAGGGTGTAAGCTTTGCTTTTTTGGCTTAGCTGCATCAACCTTCTTAAAATTCAACTTCTTGAAATTGCAGATAGTTGTGATTTTGCTTATCTGAAATGTAAATTCCCCCCCCCCGCCAAAATCCACCCCCCCAAACCTACCCCCATGTTTTTAGTTACATTGGGCTTGTAAAATAGGCTTATTGACTTTTTATCCATTTTCCACTGAACTGAAGCATATCAAAGTAGTATTTTCTTTCCCACACTACAGTGATTTTCAAGTTCATGTACTTTCTTGAGATATTAGTTGTTGACTTTTTATCACAATCATTATTGCAGGATCTGAACACTTCAGATAGGGTAGCTGAATCAGCAGACAGGTAGAAAATCAAATGTTCAGCTCTCCAAATGAAGTGACAATTTGAGCAGCTGATGGGAAAGACTTCTGACACACTGTTAATATCTGACTTTTAAAGTCTAAGCTCTTTGTATACAACAGTTTGAAAATCTCTCCTTTTCTGCATTTCGGGGACAAGCAGTTTCGATAACTAGTCAAATATTTACTGCTTTTCCTGTTTCATGGTTAAAACAAGGTGCATTTTGTGCTTTGGCTTCTATGCTTTCATGGTAATTTTTCAGTCTTGCTATAACAAATAAAGGCTGTTTTCCTGCCACTGAAATTCAGCATATCTGGTAAAACACATAGTCACATGAATTGTGTGAATATAATTTGAAATTAAGAAAGAAATTAATCCCTCCTTTCAGGTGTGAGCCACTCACATGGACAATCACAAGAACACCCTTACACACTTTCCTCCCATGATGTGATTTATTCTTCACCTTTCAGCCGAATATTCAGGGCCATCAAGCTCCAGGAGATTCTGCCACCAAGATGTTTGTACAACAGCCCACTTTGACCACCCTCAGGAAGTTGTCTCCTCTTAGAGCAGCAGATCCGTCTCAATACACCCACAGAGGCTGTCAAACATTTCGTCTCTCATTCGAACAGACTTTTATTTTTTTTTCCCTTCATTTGTCCGAGGCTTTTAAGTAACTTTTTTTCCAAAACTGAAATATTTTCGGCATGAGCTCTTGATCTACCTCAACCACCACACCAGAAATGGCAGCCAAGCTCCAGTGCTCCCTGACATCCTCATCTCACTTGTTTCTCACTTGTTTCTCACTGTTCTTTCTTAAGGTCGTGCACCGAGATCTCAAGCCAAGTAATATCCTCTACATGGATGAGACAGGAAACCCAGACTCTATCAGGATCTGTGACTTTGGGTTTGCCAAGCAACTCAGAGCGGAGAACGGGCTGCTCATGACTCCCTGCTACACAGCCAACTTTGTCGCTCCTGAGGTAGGATCACATTTCAAAGTCTGAAGTAGTAAGTGTGTCCTAGGAAGCAGTCTTTCCTCCCTTGCTGCCTTTACAAGAGGAGCAAGGCAGAAACAGGCTACTAGCATTTGCACAGCCTATATTACCATAACTTTCCTATTCCTGGTCCTGTCACAGCAGTTGTTTTTCTCCTGACAGAAGCTGGTGTCTGTCTTGGACGGGTGCACACAATGCTTTGGCTCATTACTGGGATAAATATCTATTTTCTCTAGCTGCTTCTGATGAGACTGCTTTCCCTCTAGTGCACTGCATCAGAACAGGATTATTGTTTAAGAGGTAAATCTTGATGTCAGGTCACCCTGAGATGTTGTGGAGTCTCCTTCTATGGAGATATCCAAAAGCCATCTGGACATAATCCTGAGTGTTCTAGGGGACCCTGCTTGAGCAGGGAGGTTGAAGTATATGACCCTTCCAACCTTAACTATTCCAGGAGTTTGTGATAAAACTGAAAAAAATCCTTGCACAAAATCCTTACTATGCTGAAACCAGTGAGAGCTTTATTGTTGACTTCACTGAGCTAAAGAAACATCTCTCCTCTTGGGCTTTCCTAGTACCAATTCACCCCTGTTCTGGGGGATGTAGGAAATGCTTTCTCATTTTTACAGACAGGAAAGTGGAGGAAGACCAAACAGCTTGTCTCAAGCACAGGGAGAGGTGGCTCTGTATCAGTGGCAAGTGATGTTCCTTTCATGCAACCCTGCAGGAGTGGGCTTGAGTCAGACAGCTGTTTCATGGCTTGGGCTCTTTGCTGTATTTGACTCAGGAGATGTTAATATCTGCTTCATCACAATGAAGGAGCAAGAAGTTAATTTCTTGGGTAATTACCCATTTCTTGGAGGGATGAAAATCAAAAATTTTAGTACTTGCAATACACTGTTTCAAATGTGTGTCGTACTTTGCTCATTTTGGTCCTTATAAGAAAAGCAAAAAACTACTGTCTTTCAATACTTCATCTGTTCTCTACTTTCAAATACCAGTGTCTCTCAGCTGGTATCATCTAGCAGTCTTTCTTCTCCCTAAATTTTCTCTTTCTCCCATGCACTGTTCATCTGTGACTGGGAGGAAAAAAATCTTTCTATACAGGATCCTTTCATGATACCAAAAGTTACAGCAATCATAGCCTTCCAGCATCAGAATTTGTTCTACAGAAACCATTGCCAGGGTAGTATAAATTCAAAACAGATTTTCTTCAGCAAAAAAAAACCCCCTTCCATTGCCAAGATAGATTGGTTTGGGGTTTTTATTGAGGTTTGGTTGGGCTTCCATTTTAGAAATGGGAATGAGCTGTTTAAAATTATCAAAGTAGATTGAAAAAGTTGTGTGGCACCACAGCCATTCAATTTCTAAACCACAAAAAAATCATGTTTGCAAGATTTGAAGCACTCAGATTTCCTCCAAGGTACAAGATGCTTAAAATAGGTGTAGCTATTTTTCATTATGGGCTCTTCTCTTTTTATTATCAGACTCTTCTGATTTGAACTGAAAGCAGACATCACACTCCTGGACATTCGTGATGAGTAAGACAGGTCCTGCTAATGCAGGAGACATTGAAGATTAATTGAAACATTACCAGAACTGGCAAAGAGCTTACATAAAGCCTAAAGTGCTTTTACATTTTACCTGTTATATAATGCTGCCCTCCAGCCTAGATTTGACTTTCACGTTCCCTGTCTGGGTCCGACTGCAACGTCTGCCACATGCTCATGAAACTAATTAAGGAGGCAGAAAATCAGGTGAGCTGGAGACAAAGAGGGTGGTGACCGAAGAAGGAGGACATGTTTGCCCACTTGGATCTCCTTTATTTTGGAAACAGTTAATTTGGAGTTTAGGTGATAGCAAGAGCAAAGATGAAGGCTATCTGAAAGAGGCGCGCTGCCACCTAGTGCGAGTCGTGCTGCATGCGAGGAGGAAAGACCCAGGCTGTTGTACTAGTGATGTAGTAGGGTGCTTCTGGATAAAGTAAAAATATTTTATTGTGAAGGTTTCCTACAGAATTTGTGAAGAATTACTGCTTTGTGATTTGAAATTATGAGGTTTTTTGTTTGCTTTTGTACCCATTTGTATTCCTGCTTGTTACAACTGAGAAAAACATCTATTTGAAACACTGTTATCCCAGTAAGTCAAAGCCTACAGAAATAAAAAGGGTGTGACAAATATGTGAGCCATTCTCAGAATTGCATGAACCCAGGGTATCATTATCTCCAGGATATTCATTATCACCACAATGTCCTGCTATGGTGTGGCACTAAGAACCAGTTTCTGCCTCTATTTCAGATCCCACTAAGTTCTGGAAGTGACCTAATCATTTTAGGGTTGTGTAACCACTTGCTTATTAACCCTCTTTACTAAGTAGCATCACTGCCCCATTTTTCTGTCACTAACCTTGGACTTGATTGACCTTGGTTGTTGGAGGAAAACAGAGAAGTGAAATTGTAACTGTTCAAAACACAATGAGAGCAACCACAGCAAAAGATAAATGTTGGGTATTCAGTCTCACAGGTGAAGCAAGAAGCAACTGAGTTTGTCAAATGGCAAAGAAGTTTTTCCCATAAAAACTAACATTAATAGAGGGGAATGAATGCAGGAACTAAAGAAATAGAAATAAATAAATTAGCCAGAAAGCCTGCATCTTATGTGCAGAAGAGAGGCAGAAGCACGATTTCACCGGCTTTGTCAACAGGAGGAAGTGCGGCTTTTTCTTTGGTTTTGTTGCTGTGGGAGGTTTTTTGGTTTGTTGGGTTTTTTTTCCAGGTAGCAAATGTTCATTCGGCAGCATACCTGGTGGATGGTTGCCTTGCCACTCATCATGTATAAAATCAAGGCAACATTTTCTCAAACTGTTTTTCCTTAGCTGAATTTAGTCTTTTCTGTGATAGACTTCAGATGCTTAAATCACTTCTGGGTAATAAGGCTGCTAGTCAGAGAAAGACTTGCTGAATTTGTACATTCCTTTTTCATGTGCTTTTCAAAAAGATGTATCTACCAGTCCATCTAAAGAGGACAAACTCCTTGTGTGTCAGAACTGATTAAACAGAGGGTAATTTGCTTTCGTGGGAAGATGTGGAGATGGTCGCTGAGCTTAGTTGGTGACTTCACTTTCATTTGGACCTGCACCGACTCAATAGGCATTTCTTCTAGTGTGCACTAGCACAAATGAAATGTGGACTTTACCCTTACTGCTACACCTTGACATCCTCTATCAATATTGAACCTACTGGTCAGATGTCTGCTGACTACCATGGGTCTTGTTTACCCCTTGGGAAAAGGGGGTCAAGTTTTAGCCTGGTTTTAACTCCAGTCTAAATGTGCCCACTTTTCTTTATACCAAAGTAAGAGAAGCCTTTTAGCATGCATCTTCATTAGTCTGACATTAGATATCCTTCAGTGTGAATCCATTTGCTGTATCAAATCCAAACTGAGCTCAGTTGGAATACTTACCACTGTCATTTAGCCCTATGATGCATCCACAGGGTTGTTTGTAACTTACATGTTAGGAGGATATGTTTCAAATTATTAATGAGCTTTTTTTTAATGAAACATTTTAAAGCAGTGAAATATTGTTCTGCTTTGCTGTGTGTTGGATGGCCAGAGGAGCTCCCAGACTCCTTCCTCAGCTCCAACAAACTCCACTCATCTCTCACACTGTGAAGGGGAAAGATGTGCTGAGTTTAACCAGCTCATTTCAGCCTGGGCTTTCCTTTGCTCCATAGCACTACTGGACATTTTGATTCCAAGGCAGCCACCTGTTCAAGGCAGATATGCAGCTAAGCCTGGGAATGTCAGCAGACACAACCACTAATCAGTGTATTTTGTAGAACGGAAGCTAAAAATTCCGGAATGCAGATTGACCTGTTTTCATCTCTCTCTTTCCTTCCCACAGGTCCTTAAACGCCAAGGTTATGATGCAGCCTGTGACATTTGGAGCTTGGGGATCCTGCTGTACACCATGTTGGTAGGGTGAGTGATGAGGTTCTCCTACAGCAGCAGTCTCCAGTGAGCTCAACGCTGATTAAGCCTGAAAGGAGTCACAGATAGGGATTCTGGCCTCCTTGAGAGGTGTGTTCAGTTGTATAATGCAAGAAAATAGATGTCAACACATAAAATTAGAATAATTTTTTTTTCTAGAATGCATAAATGTCTTTGACACTTGACAGATTGTTTAGGTTTTTAACAGAAAGTGCCTGTATGCACTGAAACCTAGACTCCTGAAGGGTTCACTCATGACTTAAGCAGTGGGAAAGTTTTCCATTAAGAGAGGTGCACAGGACTATGAAGAGCCTCATCATGTTCACCTTATCCATGGAAGAATGTTAATTCATTCTGTTGATACATGTATTCTCTTCAGCTTCATTATTCTTCATTTGTTATTGTTATTGAAGTGTATGAGCACCTTTAAAAGCTAAAAAACACCCCCACCCATAGTTTTCAGAAGCTGTTTGAAAAGTAGGATTCAGAAAGTAAACAAAGAGATTAGCAAGAATAGCAACAGGTAGGAGAAATTTTTGAGAGGTACTTGGCAAAAATGCCCCTACCAATGTCTTGGCTAAAATTAAATATTAACACAAGAAGATCCAGGGAAAGGCACAGATTGAAATAAGCAGTGAAGGATAAGATGTGCTGGGATGATTGGGAAACAAAGTGTGCAAACCCAGTCTAGAGTTACCAGGCTTTGAATTTCATTTCTCAGACTATGGTATGTGCACATTTATCACACCTAAGCAGAGCTTGCAGCTTTTCAGTGACCTCTCTAAACTATTTAATCTGCTTCATAATCATTCAGCTGTGACAAGAAGATTGGATTAATTCCTAGGTTTTATAGAGAAAACAAAGATTTGGGCTCTGACTTTCTGTTATTCTGTTGTTTGTGGATTGTAGAAAAGGTGCCAGGGGTCTCTATCACATCTGTTTTATTCTTGACTACACGTGTTCAAGATCAGCTGAAATATATCAAGACTTTGTGGGGAATCTCCCAGTCTGCTGGATCTCCAAGAACCTATTTCTATTTGGCTGATGCCCATGGCTGCTACACAGCTGGAATCAGTAAAATAAAATTAACACATTACCCACAGTTACACTTGTTTGGTAGATTATATTCAAGATACTTCTTTATTGAATATGAAGAAAAGAAAACCCAAATATATTTGAATCAGAAATACAAATAGCACAACTTCGTGGATATTCAGTTTACTGACAGTGCCAGTAACTTGCATCTCTCTTTTGCTGCACACCGGGGAAAATAATAATAACACAATCAGTTGAGAAATGCTTTTTAGGTGCCACCACTGCATTTATGAGTGGCCTTGTTCTTCCTGACTAGAGGAGATTAGTAGGAGCTGACAAGTATTTATGTTTTATGTCCAGGACTTTTCTCCTCACTATGAGCAGAGAGGGCTCAGACAGCCAGGGATGATGTTAATGGAGCTACTGATAGACCTCAGAGTTTTTGCCAGGCCTTAACTCTTACTGCATCCCTCCTGATAACTATAGATTGGAATAATATTGCATGTTTCTTTGGGCTGAACTGCTATGAAGACTGAAATGTTTTTGAAAATGAGAAAATACTGCATGAGGAATTGAATTTGCTACCAGAAGCCAGGTGGGATAGGAAGCTGTGGCCAAACCAACTGTTTAACAATCTAAAAACTGCTCTGGCAAGTTTGAAGAAAAGACAGATTGAGTGAAAAATATAAAAATCCAAAATACCTACTCCTTCTAAACCTACACAGCTATTCAAGATTGCAGAGTGAAATTTGGCCTGGTAGATATTAGTCAGCTGCAAAAACCTTATCTCTTGTCACTTTCTGAAGACAAAAAGTATACCCTCTGCATGTGACACTGATTTTGTCACAAGCTGGGTGCTTGTTACAAGTAATTTCTGACTGGCTGGACAAGAAAATAACCTGTTGCAGGTAATTTCTTTTGCCCAACTGACTTGCACATTATAGTTAACAAAGCATTGCAAAATAGATTAGAAAGCTTTTTTTTTCTTTTTTTTTCTTTTTTTTTCTGTTTCAAATTTTCTTCTGCTTTATAATTTTTGTCCTTTCTTGCTGTTACCAAGGTACTAGTATTGGCAATAAAGGTGTTGGCAATAAAGCAGAGTTAAATCAAGAGGTAAACACCTGACTATTTTTATGAAGAGTATTCCATTCCTAAAAAATTATAACAGAAGAAAAATTTAAAAAACAATTAAGGAATCTGTCTTTTTCTCTATGGATCAATATGAGGAATCACCAGCCTGTATAGTCTGAGTGAAAATGAAGCAGCAGTATCAGTGGTACATCCTGGAACTAAATTCCTGTTCTAATCATTGGCAGTTAATACTATAACCTAGAAATTATGTACTTGCAAATTACATGTTTTTTTTTTTTTTCTCTCTCTCCCTCCTTCTTTTTTTTTTTTTTTCCTTCATAGCTTCACTCCTTTTGCAAATGGACCAGATGACACCCCAGAGGAAATTCTGGCCAGGATTGGCAGTGGCAAATATGCTCTTACAGGAGGAAACTGGGATTCAGTATCTGATACTGCAAAGGTCAGTGAACCCTTTCTCAGATTTTCTCTCAAGATTTAAATACCACAGAACTCTTTCTTTGATACAACTGCACTTCTAAAAGAAGTGTAGGTTTGTCAATGCCACAGGTGTATGGTCTATGCATGTATCGCCTTTTTGCTTTTCAGGTAACTAGGAGCAGGCAGTTTTAATGTTTTAATTCTTGTACAGATCACAGTTTAGGCTGCCCATCTATCACAAAGCAAGGAAATCCTGGAGAGAAAAAAGTCATCTGGTGCTGAGATCTTTAGGGATGAAGCTGTGCACTAGTCTGTGAGACAGGTAAATGGACAGGAAAGTTGTAAGCTTCTAGTTGCCCAGCATTAATCAGAAGCTTTGACTGGCTTTAAAGATTCTTGCAAGAGATTTCATTTTTAGAAACTGTTATTATCCAATGGAAGAACATTGATACTTTCCACCACAAAACTGCAAGCAATCCTAGTAACATATTAATCTTGCTACCAGCACCTATGAGCCTCACAGTAAATTTTTTTATCAGCTGTCCAGTTTTGAAATTAAAATGTTTAGATGTTGTAGAACTAACCTAATTGAACTTCAGTTACCTGAGTGTTGAGTTTCTCTTCTAAGTTACTCTTATAAGTGTGCCTGGAAGTTGGTGAGGAGATGCCTCCAGATGGCATCCTCTCCCTAGGTGTTTATCGCTCCTACAAGGTCACCAGTAATAAACAGTTATTCAGTAAGATTAATGCCCTCCACATTATGTTTTGACTGCATTATTAGCTGAGAGTTGAACATTACACTTGGAAATTTTGAAGACCTGACACTTAAAGAACATAAAGCCTGTCTAAAGTGCATCACTCTCCCCATTGAACATGCTAATGATGACACTGCCAACAGAAAGATCTTAGCAAAACCTGCACAGCCATTAATTACTTTCTCCCTTGTACTGCTTTCTTCCTTTTCAACCCAGGACATTGTGTCTAAGATGCTTCATGTAGACCCTCATCAGCGCCTCACAGCAGTCCAAGTCCTGAGACATCCATGGATAGTGAACAGGGAGTACCTGTCTCAAAACCAACTCAGCAGACAGGATGTTCACCTCGTTAAGGTACCTCCTACACCCTTCCCTCATCCTTGCTTGCAGAATGAGCTGTCATTTGTGTAAATAGTTTCAAAAGTGATAGAGGAGTTGGGAAGATTATTTGGCACAGAGGCTAAATTTAACATGGCACTGTATTAACTGTATTTTTGACTGTCACCTACTCAGTATTTTTACCTTTAGGCTGCATTGTAGTAACCTGATGGCACATACTGCTCTTCACCATTTTGAATCTGAGACAACTCTAGCTATCTACCAGCCTAAATGGTATCATTTCCTGGTAATTGTGCATGTGTGACAGTTTTTTAGGATACTGAATAGGGGAAGAGAAAAGCATCAAAGAAATTAACTTCAGCTCAGAATTTTCTCTTTCTCTGTTTTACAGGGTGCAATGGCAGCCACGTACTTTGCTTTAAACCATGCACCTCAAGCACCAAGGCTGGAGCCCGTATTGTCTTCCAATCTGGCTCAGCGGCGAGGCATGAAAAGACTTACCTCTACCAGATTGTAGCAGTACCTCAAAAAGGCCTCCTTGAAAACCCACAGTTTATTATTTGAGAAGTTTCATTTTTACTTGGCTAGCAGAACTTTTTTGGACAACCTGCACATGAAATTGCCAGAACTAGCAGAAGCCCATGTAAGGCAAAGCTCTCATTTGCTAAATCTTTTCTTTTACATTCCAGCCAGGGTCCTGAGTTTAACAACTTCACAAAGATGTGCCAGTTTTGCCAGTAGCTCTGTTTCTTTACTGAGATAAAGCCAAATAAAATAGGCAAGCTCCATCCTTTCCACCCTAGGAAAACTATTTTTGAGTCTGTAAGATGTTCCATGGGAACAACTTTCATTTTGTTTCTCAAGAAAAGCACTTTTTGCTATGAAGAACACAGTCGGGTTAGAATGCTGTTCCAGCATGTGTTATGATGAAGTGACTTGGCACCAGCAGACATCTACTGATCTCCACTCACTACAGGAAAAGTGAAGGCTGCAGAGACACATGAGTAATAGCTTATTTGAAACAAGTGCTTAACAACATGAGGTAGAGAGAGCTGCTGGTGGTGGAAATACCTTCTGTTCTTGAGGAATCTTTTGCACTTTGCCCCTGCCTTCTCTGGAAGGAAGCTAGCACCTCTCAAGGAGAGTGTGTCACCAGCACTGACTTGCTCAAAAGTCTCAGAGAGCAAAAAACCTCTGAGATCCTCAGTCTTCTGAGGAAAAGAATGGGTCTTATAAGACTGTGGGGAGGCATTAATGTAAAGCAGTGTGAGTAGGAGGCTGTGGATCAGGCAGGAGAAAGGTGTTTGGTCCTGGCCAGCAAGCAGGCCTGGGAGGATTAGGTGAGGGGGCTGGGAGAACTGAACAAAGGCAGGGAAAGATGTGAGTGGCTTTGAGGACAGTAAGGAAAATAATCCAAAGGCAACTCGTGTACAGGGGGCCGACTGTGACTGCCCTCTCAAGGGCAGTCCCCCTTCAGTGACTGGTGCAGAAGATGGTGGATGGCTAGGCTGCCCAGGGGCCAAGCGGGTCGATGCAGCTGTCCTCCCACACTATCACCCTGTCTGCTCACTGAGAGCCGTTCTGGCAGCCCAGAGTGCCATGCTGGAGCAAGAGAGGCCATTTCCAGTCATTGTTCCCTGCCCTCCCCTGGCTGATCACCCAAATCTGCCTCCATCACCCAACATGTCATGTCCCTGCCTGGGTGTTCTGCTCTAGCAGACCTAAACTCCCCATGCCATGTGGGTGCAGAGAGTACCCACTTCTGAAGAGTTCAGCCAACTCTGTTACAAGCTTTAATAATAATAAATTATGAGGAGAAATTGGAGGATGCTCTGCTTTTATATTTATATGAATATGTACATGTGTATTTATATACATATAAAACAAAAACTCTATGCCCTAATACCTGAATTTTCCAGGTCCAGGGAAAGAAAACTGTTGAAATGGTCTCTGCAAAATGGACTTTTTTCTCATTCCCTAGTTTCAAAAAAAGCAAGCAAGGTTTGTGGTGCCAGATGTGAACTATTTTTTTATTCCTTTTCTTACCCATCTTGGCTTACTGGTGGTCACAAGCTGACCAATATTCTTCTTTCTTCTTTGTACTACTTTTGTTAATTTTAATTTTCTGAGTGAATTTTGTCACCTCAGATGCTTCGTGGGAAAAGCTACTGGGCTGTGAACATGGAGCTCCATTTGCTACACATGGTAATTTTTGCTTGCTGGGTAGTTTGTGCATCTCGGTGCTGAACTGGAATTACCAGATCACTGCCTCAGATTGTCCAAGGGGTTTCATTTGCTATAGTCATATTTTTCCTAAAACTATCTCTGTTTCAGTGTTGACTGAAGTCTCTTTGTTTGCATTAGTCTATTTTTAAATTTAAATTTATTCTTAATAATTTAAACTGATATTTAATGTTAAAGTTTATGTGCTGTGCACAGAGGATTGCTGCAAAGCAGCTCTCCTTGAAGCCCCTCTCTTTTCTAAAATAAACAGTGCTGTGAAACTTCACACAGAGGCTGAGTTGGCTGGGACTGATGAGTGCAAATGCACAGGTGGGTGTCTGCGCTTGCGTACACAGCAGCCCACATTCTCTCCTTTGGCTAATCTGTGCGCAGTGTCAGCTTTTTGCTGCCTTTAGAATTTTCTGCTTGTTAGAAGTTAAGTCTCACACGTTTCTGCTAACAGCACACCTTGAGGACATCCACTGGCAGGGATATCCTGGCTGGTGCAGAACAGCTCTGGCCAGGCCTTGCTTCCCTTGAAGTGACTTCTGTCCTGGAAGAAGGCAAGGTGGGCATAAGGATGCAAAGAGCAACCTGGAGGGAGGGCTGGATTTTCTGGGGTCCCAGCTGATATGTGGTATTTCAACAAAATGTATTTTTAATGGTCGGAGTAATTGTATTGTGTTGTATATGGGCAGAAAGACTTGTTGAAAATGTTATGTACAGTTTTTGTCTCTCTCTGAGATTTCCTGGTCATCTTGCATTGCTTCACTTTGCTTTCTCTCACAACCACTGGAAAAAGTCTCATTCTTTCTAGATATACTCAGTCTTAATTCTTTAAGCATTGTTTTTCAACTGAATATTACTGTAGGCCAAGCTTACAGGATGTTGTTCTTCCCAAAGTTTAAGGGTTTTAATGTCTTCTTGACTTTCCTCTTTCTAACCCACCAACTATTAACATAGAGACACATACAGACTCATACACCTTCATGCTCATTAATTACTTTATAAGCCTATAAATAATTATAAGCCCATACATTTAGTGAGCTTTGTTTATTAAGGTTTTGTTGCCAGTGCATCCAGATGTGTGCACATACGTGTCTGTATGCAAACACATGCACAAAAAGGTGCTGTCCCAGCTTGTCCAAATAAAGGTAGAAGTGTAATCAGAGGTGGAGGTGATACAGAGAGATTTGTCTGCAGTGTTCTGTGAAATCTGTCATTGATAATGGTAATGGTTACTCTGGGTGTAGAAAAAAAGGCTGTGCCCATCCATGGAAGAAACTTCCCCATCCAGTCTCCCCTCTGCCCCAGATGTGCATCCCCATGCACTTCCAAGGACAGATCAGTCTCCCCTCTGCAGTCCTGCCATGAGTGGTGCTTTTCTGAGAGTTTTCTGACCTGTTCCTGTCAAGTGAACCCAATTAATCCTTTTCCACTGTCAGTCTTGCTGATCCAAGCTCACTTGGACTGAAATCCAAAAGCCTCCATCAGCAAATCCAAGGGAGGCAGAAAGCGAGGAATATGCCACTGGCACTCATTATTTTTAAGTGATAGCACCCACTGGTTCCCCTGGCCCAGCTGGATCTGGGACAGGATGCTAGGCTGTGGCCTAATTACTTCAATGGCTGCTTTAATACCAGCATCTCCTTTCTAGACTCCTGGCCATGGTATAGGTCAGCAATAAGCACTTTGTTTTTTTCTTTCTAGGAGAAAACTGAAAAAGGCTTAGCCTCTCTCTTTCTCTCTCTCTTTATATAACCTTAAGAGACTTTTACTAAATGGTATGTTTAACTCCTGAATGTCTAAAAATCTATTTTAATTAGAACATGCCATCTTGCAAGTTTTTAGTCTTTAAAGTGACCTAGTGCCTTAGGCTGTTACAAATATTATAGTTACATTTTTAACCATCAAGCTGCACAATGCAATGAGTGTCCAAGGCATACCCCAGTGTGCCTGTCACAGACACAGTCAGCTCATCTGGAAGCCCAGTTCAAAATCAATCACAGAATGGTCTGGGTTGGAAGGGACCTCTGGAGCCCATCTAGTCCAACCACCCTACTAAAGAAGGTTCACTTAGAGCAGGTTGCACAGGACCATATCCATGCAGGTTTTGTTGTTCAGTCCAGGAGAGAAGTGTCTGTCCAGCAAAGACAAAGTATATCCCCAAATTTTGGAGAGCTGGACCCCACCTCTGCAGCTCCAGGACTCTGAAGAAGCCAGATGGCCCTGATGAAGAATATCATGGGAAACATTACCCCAGTTCCTACACAGCACCACTGCTTGTCTATATGGCAGAGGTGTGGAGATGCTGCTCAAAGGGAGGGCTGACCTGTGCCCCTCATGAGTTTTCACTTATTTAAAATCTGTTTAACTTTTTCTAAGCAAGTTTTAACAGCAGTTAGCATTTATAAAGCCTAACCATTTCAATAAATGACAACTGACCCTCACAGACATGTTATCTCTACATTTAAAAAATAAGTCTACCTGAGAATAGATTCTGCTTTGTTTCCTCATAAAAAAAAAAAAAAATCTTCTTCACCTCCCAGGGTGCTGGGGATAGCCCAAACACAGAGAGCTGAGTGAAGCATGTCATGTGTGACGTGATATCATGACATCACATGTCATGTACCTCTTACGAGGTACAGATTGTGTGTTCCTGTACTTCGTCTAACCCTGGATGTAATACTGGGCTCTCTTTCAGCCAGACCCTTTCAGCTCTTTCCAACGACTTGTACCCAGCTCTGGTACCTCTGAATACATCCAAACTTCAGTCAAGTATGCAATTGCTGTGTGTCCATGATACGAATTATGACAGGGCTTGGCTCATGCCCTAATCCATGGATGGCACAAAGGTTTCTTACGCTGCTGGTCTACTGAACTTACACCAGCATATGCAAGTGCTGACACAAAAAATAGCAGGCAGTCACTTTCCCTTGGGTTCGACTGCTCATCTGTCGTTTCACACCTCCCTTAGCCATGTCACCATGGGGCAAAGCAAATGTTTGTGCGTCAGAACAAATGGCTGGGGACAGCAGGAAGGCAACAGAATCAGTTTAGCCAACAGTGCTCTCAATACACTGGACTGACTACAAGTTCAGTGTCACCTCTGTCCCTCTGTTGCTGTGTTATGCTGAGCAGAGTCCAGGTGTGGCTCAGAGTCAGGGCTATAAATGATGTGATGTTTGTACAGCAGCAGGTTCCCAGTGCCAAGCTGTGTGCACAGAGAGGAAGGACATGTCCAGGCTTCTGAAAATTTGCCACAAGTTCATACAGTTCTTCCCTGTAACCAGAAGGTGTACGGCCACAGATGGCATGTCATGGGGAGATATTGTTGACTGTATGTATTTTTGCCACTACCTTAATAAAAGTGATATATTTGTTTTTAAATCCTCCATTTTTGCAGAGTAAATTCTTGATTTTGGGGCATGCTACATCTTTCTCGATCCCTAGAAGGAGTAAGGCAGTCAAACACAGAAAATACAGCAGATTACTATAGCAGAAAATATATTGTAGCTTTCACTGGAAAAATATTTTCAGGCAGGTGTTTTGAAGCCCTCTCTTAGGATGTGTGTATCAGAAAGGCCAAAGTAAATATTTAGAAGCAAAGTTCCCTTGTTGAACATCCAGAGATGACACCTTTAAGCAAGAGCCACGTGAGCTCCACAGTCACATATCTGAATCCTAAAAGACAGGCAAGCGGCACAACCATTCATATATTCCTTACATTAAAATAAAAAGGTCTAAAATAATGTTAATAAGATGCTTTAGTGTAATACATTTAAAAAGAAAAAAAGTAAAATGTGCAAGCCTGTTTTTCTTTTCCTCTTTTGAAGTATACATCATTTTCCTTTACAAGTGTATATTCTTACCTCCCAGCTGACCCTGATCCTGAAATCTTGTGTTGCCTGAAAAAACTGCAGCTTAGCTGCTTCTGGTACCTCAGGTCCTGTGTAAAGACAGTCCCACACTCCTCTCTCCATGTCTGTCCACAGCAGACACACACAATTGTACACCCTGTCCTATTCTGAAAGTTAGCAAAAACATGATAATTTAAACTCAGAAGATAAAATGAAATTAAAAGTAAGGTTCTCAGTGTGTACAGAACTAAAACTCGTAGTATTCAGGTGAAGGATGAATTGAAGCCTGTGCAGAATAAAAATGTTACAGAACAAATAAAGTTACAGTAAGTCTTAGAGTCAAATTTTATCTAAACTCTCTTCATAGATTTTTGCAACCTAGACCTTGCATTTCCAAGTGCAACTATGTGACAACCCATGTATGTCAGCCAGCATCTGATCATGCATGTCATCACAAGGCTTGCACATGAAAACATTTTGCAGCCCAAAGTTTAGAATCTAAAATTAAGATTTTGGCCCTTTTTGTTGTCCTGTATTGTGTAAACCATGATGTTCAGTGTCTAACTATTCAATCACTACTTCTTGCTTTGGTATACATAGTTACAGAGTCAACTTGTGCTCTGTTGTGTCTCCTAAATGGATGTTACAGACATATTTTTCAGAGCTGCTTTAGCCTGAAAGGAAAATGAGGAAAATGCATGCCCCCCTTGATGAAGGTAAATTTTAAAAGGAGAGGCTAGAAAATATGCATTTGAAGTGCAGAAAATGAAAAACAGTTGCTAAAAGATTGTTTCTGATTTGCTACTCAGACCCAAATCTTGCTGCCTTCATTCTTGTGTTAATTCCTTAATCCATATGCACCTTCAGTGACTCTGGTGGGAGAGCTCAGAGTCAAGTCCTCTTTCCTATTGCAGTAGTGGAGTCTGGCCATTAGGTGATGATGCGTGTAAGGAATTTACTTGGGTAGTACTAAATTGACAAAATATGAACCATGATCTAGCACTTTTTTTACAGGCTGCATATTCATGTTTACAAAATAATGATTTCTGAGGCTCATGCTTTTTATGTTTCCTGTATGAAAAGGGCAGCCAGTATACAGATACTTGTTATGTTTACTAGCATTTCTGAATAGATTTTTTTTAATAGTACATGGTTTTATGAAGTGTAATATTTTTATAGTAGAATTATGTTCTTTGGACTTTCTATATTGTTACCTACAATTGTTTGCAAATAAGATCTTTGCTCCTTTTTTTCTGTGCCCTGTATCCCATATTGCTGCTGCTAATGTTGCTGGCCTCAGTTGCTGCTGCCCCACCATGACGTGGGCTGACAGTATTGTGAAAATGTGCAAACTAACTTCAAAGAGCTGTGATTGTGCTGAAGGGCTGGCTGCATGCTGGGTTCCTCCTGGCAGGAGGGATGTGTAGCTGTACCCAACCAAGGCAAGAGTTTACTGTGGATGGCCCCCAAGGAGAAGCCTCAGTGCTCAACTTTGTCTGTATTCTGCCATTTTGGTTTGGCATGCCCATCCTTTCCTTTCTTTATAATGAAATAAAAAGAAAAACAAAAAGGATCCTGCATGTTTTTGCATACTTCCTTTCCAGTCCCTGAGCACTGGCCATATTTGAATGCCATGTGTTGGTCACAGTAAAAGCACGCAGTTACCTGTTCAAATTATATCTGGAACTGTTATCTCTGTGCAGCCTGAATACTCAAACCTCTGTTTTGGGAAGTAACAAGTAAGCCTTTAATGCCCATCATTCGCACAGTTCACCCACTAGACAAATTTAGGATTTCAGTGCCAGACAAATGAGTGCTTTCACACAAGCTGCCTCAGCATGAATTTCCCTTGCCCCCTTGAGATCTTCCAAGGTACCATTCCTCTGGAAACTGCTGGTCTCTGGCAAGCAGCGTGCATACCCTTTTCTGTTTGCTGGACTTCCTAGTGATCACAAAAGCAAAATCAACCCCTCCTGTTCTGAGGGATTGGTTCTGCTTCCCTGACATTACATCTGAGCCTGCACACAGTTACACTGGCATTTATGTCTCGATTGTCATCAGACCTGGCAGCATCACAAAGGTGGTGAGTCAGGCTCAGGCTTCTTGCAAGAACAGCATGTGGTACCAGAGATGGAGGAACAGCATGTGATTTAGGTCCAAGCAAGCATAACTGAGCAAACCTGTACTTTAAGAATGTTGTTTGTAGGATTTCGGCTCTGAGCATAGGTAGTCTCATGTCTCTTTTCTCCTGCCAGCTGCTCCTGTCCTACTCCCACTTCTGTCCTTCCTGTATTTTCTCTGTTCATAAAAGAAACTTCCTGTTCCTTTAGTCCTCATGTCCTTCATCACTGGGACATGCATGTCCCTCCCCATCCTCTTCCTCTGCACCTCAGCATCTACCATGAGGCATTCCGCCTTTCTCTTACCAGGTTTCTGCCCCACAGGCCCATCTTGTGGGTTTATAGCCTCTTCTGGTAGGAAGGCAAATAAATCTGGTACACCTGTCTTTATAGACCCAGCAATTAAAAAAGGAGGCTTCTCTGGAGAACCACAATCATATACAAGAACAAATAGGAAAACTGAAGAGAAAAAAAAAAAACCCAAAACAATCTAGGCTTTGTCTTCCATTCCCACTTCTAATTTCTCTCGTAATATGACCATGACCAGGAATGAGCTAATCTATCCATTGTTGGACACACATTAACTTTTCAGAGGACCTGGTTAGGAAGCCATGGGTCATGCCAGGGCCTTGACAGGCAGATGATAGTCTTTCCCTCCAATGCTAGAAAAAGAATAAATGAGATATTTGAGAGGAAGGTTTTCCAGAATATACTCAAGTGTCTAATCAAGACACAGCCCTTTCAGGAAACTTGTATTGGCAACCATCTTAAACCTCTGCACTTAATGGGGAAGTAACCATGCTTTTTTTCCCCCTGAGGTACACACTTATTTAAAATTTAAAACAAAACAAAACAAAACAAACAACAACAACAAAAAAAAAAAAAAAAAAAAAAAAGAAAAAAAAACACCACAGCAGCCAACAACTCCCCTCCCACTTGTAATTTTGCTCTTTGGTCAACATTCATTTCTTTCTTGTATCTTTCCCCTCCTCTATCCCATCCCAGTTCACATCACCCCCTTTCTATGTCCCACAACAATGGGAATTGTCCTGAGGCTCAGAAAGTCCTCTTATATGCCTGAATAGCATCATCTTCAAGGGCAGTACAACTGCTGGCTGAGCACCTCAGGCAATATACAGCAGAGCAAACAAGAGTCAGTAACAATAACCACTAATGTCTGAAGATCACAAGAAGCAAAGATTTTGCATTAAAAGCTGTGAAGAAGAGCTGAAGACAAGGATTTTAGGTTATGTCCAGCTTTTCAGGTTACTCATAGATAGCTTCAGTGCATTGTCTGTGCCATACTCCAGCTGTCTGGAGATAAGATAGAAAAAAAAATATTATCTGTCCATTCATCTAGATGGACAGGAGCTCTTTGGTTTTTTTCTTAAATAACTGAAGCAGGCCTGAGATCAATTCCATTTTTTGTTGAGGAAATTAGTTTATTAAGAGGCTGGTGACTCACCATCTGTGGTAAGCCTGTGCATTGTTTTGGCTTGGCACACTCCTGCCTATCTGATTTTTCCTGTCCTTCAGGTTCTGTGGTCAGTGGTAAAAACAGCTGCAGCTGTAAAGCCTAACTCTTTCCCTACTGTAGAATTTTGCAGCTTCAATTTTAATGATAGTATCCTTGCTAAGGTATGCAAAGGAAGACTAGTGATTTCCAGCACATTTACCCAGACTTTCTAATTGTCACGGTCTTGTCTGGGCTATTGTCTCTGTTGTAAATTCTGTTATAATCAATTATTTACTCATCCATTTATTTATTTCACCCGTTGGTACTAAAAAAAAAATTACCCTGTAGGTACATCAGCTGTTGCAATGCAGACAAATACAGAGAACAGAAACAACCTGCATTTCACTTTAGAGAAGTGACAAGGGTGACCCATCAGCTTTAAGAAACTCTTGGCAGTGCTGATCTTTGACTATCTGGTCTCACTTCAACCATCAGCCTGCTGCCATCCAAAGAGATTAGGAAGTATATGTTAAAGGTGAGAAAATGTCATGCAAACCCCACCATTCAGGCCTGAAGTACCATTTTTTAAATTGCATAAACTAATATAACTTTAATATATTTAAATGGTCCAGAGTTCAGATGCAGGAAAAAAAAAAAATAAAGAAAAACAACATGCCTGCCATGGAGATTACTAAAGACCCTGATCTCTTCAGCTTAGCTTGGAGATGGCTGAGAGGTGGCTTGAATTATTGTCTACAAGAATCTTCACAGGGAGAAAAATCACACGTTCCAGAAGCAGAGAGAGACAGACCAGAGCAGAAAAGCAGGCAAATTTCTGGGTGCAAAATTCATGCAGCTTCAGAATGGAAATAAGGTAACTGTAGTTTAAAAGTGAGGCTGTTATTCATTGGAATAAAACATAAAAGGAGAAAAGGAGTTTGTCATTCTCTTTGTATCATGTTTAGTAGTGTCCCTTAGCAGACAGAAGGTTAGTGCAGAAGCAAGTGGATGAGTTCAATAGCCTGCAGTAATCTGGAAATCAATTTTAAATGCTTGTGATGGTCTCTTTGGGCCTCAAATATGACATGCATTCATATCACCCTACCACAAGCAGTTGGCACTGAATGAGCAGATCAAGATTGATGGATGAACTCCAAAGATTAATTTAAAGAATTTTAAGCCACAAATAACTGCAACAATCAACTTTCTCTGTTTAAATTTGTATCTTTACTATGGTACACGTGGAGAATATTTGCTGTATTTTGGCAATATAGAATATCACTCGGAAATTTTGTGATGTTTATGACTACCTAGTGTTAATTTAGAACAACCTGTTCCCCACAGTTGGTGCAATACGGTTAAAACCTGTAACAAGACCAAGCAAATTGTGTTCCCTAAACATAGCAAAAAACTCACTGCCTTAAAATCCAAATAAATTATTATAGTATAATAATACTAATAATAGTGCACTAATGCTATGAACCACAGGAGGCCTTACAGAAATAGATGTCAAACATGAGTGAAACCTTTGAGAAAAAAATACTTTAATTTCAAATGAGATCTCCAATTATAATTAATTTAAAAGAGAGTGAAAATTAGACCACAACATCATTACCAAGGCCTGGAGGTGAGTGGCAACTTGTGAACTAACTGGCTTTATGATAGCTTCTGAAAATCTATGAGATGTACTCTGAGAGAGAGATAGAGGGTGCAAAATTCTAATCACAGCAAAAGGAAGGAAGGAAGGAAGGAAGGAAGGAAGGAAGGAAGGAAGGAAGGAAGGAAGGAAGGAAGGAAGGAAGGAAGGATTATCAAATAACAAGTATAAATGCTGTTCCTAATAATTCATAGTTTAAAGACTGTTAAAGAAAGTGTTTCTCCAGGGAAAACATGACCCCACTCCCCTCCTCAGCTTCAAGATGGTCAATATTAGCAATTCCCAGAAGAACTATTTTTGCTAAACCTAAACACTGCGAATTACATCTAGTGAGACTTTTTCCAGCTCTGTGACAAACACTGCTGCAGCAACCTCCTTGAGGAATGATGTGGCAGAAATTTGTGCAGAGCAGCCACTCAGTATGGAAGTGCTGCATAGCAGCCCCTGTCAGGGCACCCTCCTGCAAAGTAACAGTCCCTCTTTTAGTCCAAAGAGAATTAAATAAGCCTACACTGCTGGAAGCTTGCATCATGCTCCCAGGAGGTTGTTGTGTGGGTCTGACCAACCCAGCCTAAGGAAGGAGCTGATGGGGTTCCCTGCCCTGATCTTAGCAAGTACTGGGATCACAGGGTTTCCATGTGATGCAGAGATGGTGCTCCCACTGCCTCCTGAGCTTTCAGAGAAAAGAAGGAACTGTTTTCAGCAGGTTATAAAAATGTACTTCTGCACAGCCTTCAAGAGGGACAATCTGAGCAAGAAAGCAGCACCAAATTCACAGAGGCGGGGGTCACAGTAAGGGCATTGATCTATTCCATATATCTTCTTGGCTTTGTTTTGTTGAACTCCCTGCTATGTGTGAGAGGATTTTGCTTCCACTCTGCAAGGGCTAACACTCCCTCTGTGTGCAGGGCAGACACTACTGTCCAGCCCAGGTACCAAGGATCAGTAGCTTTTGGATAGAGTATTTAATTTATACAGCACTTGGTGTGAAAAACAAGATATCTCTTGTAAAAAACAAGATAGCTTTCGTGAACTGAAGCTGTACATCACCAGCTAACATTAATGTTTATTGGAAAGATCAATACCCATATAAGGATGAATTTGGATGTCTGGGGGACACAACATTTCAAACCTTTCTAATAAGAAAAGATCCTCACTACATAGTTTAGAGGTTGTCTATAACCATCCAATTCAATTTGGTACGTGCATATTTGGGTACATGAGTAAAATGCATCCATTCTTCTATAAGTATACACACCTGAATATTTACTTTTTTTTTTTTTTTTTGTCTGTTTGGCCTTGTTCAAACCTAAATGACTCTGTGCAGAGTCCTGAATGAC